GGTTCTTCTGGGTGGGGTATCCCGGATGGATGTAGGGGATGGATGAAGTTCTCCTCTGGGCAAGCACTGCTGGACCCGGAGCTGCTCGGATTTGACGGATAAGTTTATGTTCAGGGTCTGGCTTAGTCCCCACACCTCTTCCCCTGGGAGCCTAGGCCCTGGGCCCAGACAGCTGTGGCCCTAGACCGGAATCCCCGCCCTGTCGTACCTGTGCAGGAGCATCGAAGAGGGCAGGGCCTGCGCCCCAGAGACTCCTGTCCAAAGTCAGTCCTCTGAAGTGGCAGGGGTATGAGTCCAGGTGGGATGGGACCCCGAACGTGGAGGTGAAGTCCTGAGCCCTTGGACTGGGCTAATTCAGCAGTGTCTGGAGCTGGGCAGGGCAAGGACTATCTTTTCTAAGGATCTAATGTGGGTTCTTCCCCTTCTCCCTCTCCCTCCAAGTTTATGACAAAAACAGCCTGACTGCCTGGCCCTGGTGCTGAGTCTGTCTGACACTCCTCTTGGAAAGGCAGTGAACTTCAGCTGCAGCAGCCTGGGCCCAGGAAGATGACAATGTGGTGATAATAATAGTAAATGTTCCCGTGTAGCCCTTAGTATGTGTCAAGCACTGATCCTAGTGCTTTACATGTAGTAACTCCTTTCAACCTTATATAAGAGGTTATTGTTGTTAGGTGCCGTGGAGTCGGTTCCGACTCATAGCAACAGAACGAAACACTGCTATTTACACCAGAAAGAACCACTGCCCAGTCCTGTACCATCCTCACAATCATTGTTATGCTTGAGCCCATTGTTGCAGCCTCTGTGTCAATCATCTCGTTGAGGGTCTTCCTCTTTTTTGCTGACCCTCTACTCTACCAAGCATGATGTCTGTCTTCGTCATCTAGTGGATGGCTTTAACAAAGAGAAATTTATTCTCTCACAGTGTAGGAGGCTAGAAATCTGTATTCAGGGTGCCAGCTCCAGGGGAAGCCTTTCTCTCTCTGTCGGCTCTGAGGTAAGGTCCTTGTTATCAGTCTTCCCCGGACGAGGAGCTTCTCAGCACAGGGACCCTAGGTCCAAAGGATGTGCTATTCTCCTGGCTCTTGTATCTTGGTCGTATGAGGTCCCCCTGTCTCTCTGCTCACTTCTCTCTTTTATATCTCAAAAGAGATTGGCTCAAGACAAAACCCAGTCTTGTAGATTGAGTCCTGCCTCATTAACATAACTGCCACTAATCCCATCTCATCAACATCATAGAGACAGCATTTACAACACACAGGAAAACCACATCAGAAGACAAAATAGTGGACAATCACACAATACTGGGAATCATGGCCCAGCCAAGTTGACAGATATTTTGGGGCGACACAATTCAATCCATGACAATGTCCTTCTCCAGGGACTGGTCCCTCCTAATAACATGACCAAAGTAAATGAAATGAAGTCTTGACATCCTCGCTTCTAATGAGTGTTCTGGCTATAATTCTTCCAAGAGAGATTTGTTCCTTCCTCCGGCAATCCATGGTATATTCAATATTCTTCGCCAGCACCATAATTCAAAGACATTGATTCTTCTTTGATCTTCCTTATTCATTGTCTAGCTTTCACATGCATATGAGACAATTGAAAACACCATGGCTTGAGTCAGGCACACCTTAGT